CTACAGCAGCGTCGCCTGGCCCGCGTATTACACTTGGCCTCCGGTGCCAACACAGCTGATATTTTTACAAAGGTGCTTGCGCATAAAGATCATCAGCGGCACTGCGTACAGCTTGGTCTCGTTCCTGTAGCACATCATTTGCTAGGACCTTGATTGTGTATGACTCTTTACATATTATGCTGATTGGCCTTGTGGCTTTCTCTCAGTGGCTAGACTAGTTGTGCCACCCTGGTCTTGTTCTTGCCTTGTTTGTAATCTTTTGACTGGTCTTTAGACCCCAGCCTCAGAGGTTGGACTAGAGTGCCACCCTGAGCTGCTTGTCTCTCACCAAGCTCTGCCCCTATCTAGTCTAGGGGGTGTGTCAAACATATGTGTGTATGTTTAGTAGACTACGTAGGGTCGTGCCATAGAGAGTACAACCCACTAGCTATATAACCTTGTATGCTCTCATACAATTCTAACTCCAAGACTAACAACAATTCAAATACAACTAGGAGAGAAGACAATGGCATACATGAATTGATGTAGAGGAATACGCGATAGACTCCTACGGAGTGGCGGCTCATTCGTGACGGTCGTCCTCGACGGTCTTGGTCCTCAGTGGCGCACGACGCGATATCTTCTACGAGCCCACGGGAGGATCTTGGAGATGCACCTATACGTGAAACTCCACGCCGAGCAGCAAGACATGCACCTGTATGAAGAACGACACGCAAAGAAGCCAAGTCAGCACATCGCGTTTTACACACACGGTCGTCAGCACAACCAGAAATGACACGTACCTCCGTACTGTCACCTCTATCGGACTTCGGAACACTTGCGCTTCAATTGTCTCTGGCAGCAGCATCAGGAGCAGCAGTATCAGCCTCGACCCATTCGCCCATCCAACAGTCACGTCACATCAATTCAGCAACACCCGCCAGCTCCGACGTCCACACCTGCACAAAAAATAAGGAGCATCATCAGTTGCATGGCACGCACTGATTCCTGCATTCCCGACTCCCCTCCAAGTCGCGACCTTGACGACAGGCCGCCTGCATTGAACCTTACCTCTCTTCAACCAAACTCAACGTATGTAGCCATCGCCCACAAACAACCTTGCAAAAGAGATTCTTGGTCCTTGGACAGTTCCTACGGACAGCACATGCGTTCTTCGGCTTGCTTCGTCCAGTGAGAGAAACCTTGAGTCGCTAAGTGGTGATCACGGTCACCAACAATCAGAACATGCGCACACGGAGGCAATGCGTTGTTAAGCTACAGTCACTCGAGACAAGTGTGGTACCGTAAATGTCATGAGTATTAGTCGTTGACAACCTTGGCTATAAGTTACTAAGTGTCAGTCAGTTGATGTCAAAAGGTATCCACCTGGAGTGCGACAACGAAGACCGTGTGTTTCAGCTTTACCATGGGAAGGGCGGTCTATACATTGGGAAGGCAATCGAGAAGTCAGGTGTCTTTGTCTTGGACTTTGTCCCAGATCGTGGCACTGCAGACAGCGACGGTGTCATCTCCTTCACCAATTGAACGCACCCGCCGAGGAAGAACCAGTCGAAGAACCACCGCCAACCGAAGCAGGGCAGCTAAAGGCGCACACCCGCAAACTCTACCGGAGCACGACAATGTTCTCCGCCCTCTATGCCAACTCCGATTTGTATCAACGATATGTCGGACACAAGGCGAGTGAAGACACATGGCATAAAAGCCTAGGACACCAAAGCAATTTGAGACTATTCAACACAATACGAGCAGGCATTCTCGACAAGGACACCCTACAATTTATTGATGGAAGGGAACTTCGCAATCCGCGCCATACCTGTTTCCAATGTCTGGAAACTGAGTTATCGCGTCGACCGTTCACCTCGTACCACAACCCGAGCGCACCGGCCTACGCTCCACTAAAAAGGGTATACAATGGTACAATATATATTCCTCACAAAGTTGGCAGAGCGGACCTGAACTTCGTCATAACCTTCGTCGATGCCACAACTCGGAACACTTGGCGTCTCAACTTACCGTCGCGAGATCTTGCCTTCTCAGCATTTGTCGCATGGCTTGATGCGGCAGAGAGAGAAAGCGACGCTAAACTGAAAAGTTTTCAATTAGACGGGGCGATGGAATACCAGTCACTGTGCTTCAAGGACTCCCTAGGGGAGAGGGGAATCAAGGGACTCGTCACCCTCCCCTACGCTCATCAACAGAATGGCGTAGCGGAAAGGATGAACAGGACGCTATAGAACATCATGCAAAAGCTGCTACATGGCATGCAATTGCCCGACTCACAGTGGCTGGAGGCGATGGACCATGCTGTGATGCTGCCATCTAGCTCCCTGCCAAAAAGCGCATCACCGCACCTGGTATGGATAGGGAAGCAGGACAGCACACATTTTTTTATGAGTTTTTTGTTGCATGGTACACTACCAACCCCACACAGCACGGGCCGAAAGATTTACCCAGCGAGCACGATGGGGCCTATACCTTGGCGTTGAGAAACATTACAACGCGTGGAAAATCTTCTATATGGAAGACAAAGAAATTGTGGCAACACGTGACGTGATCTTCTACAAAAATCTTATCATGAATCATTGTCTCGACAACATCGCCAACAACGGCGACCCAATAGGTGGCTTTGCTTGCGCACACGGGTTCGCCTCGGCAGAAGAGGAAGCTGACCTGGACGAGCAAAACATTCCAAATGCCTCAGCGACAGTTGGCCCTATGCCCTATTGCTTCGTCGACATGCAGATGGACGATAACAACCTCGCGAAAGTGCGAACGCCGAAGCGTACTACCATTTCACCGACAATGGATATGTTACTGCACACAGCGTCGACACCAATGTTTCGGAACGTATCAGACCAGGATTCAGACCTAACCTCGAAGCGGGAGACAAAACAGCCTATCCCGAGTACCCACACCTCCCCCCCTACACCAAAACTAGGCTCCAGATACTCAGACTCGTCACAACAGTATACCCAGTGACTCACCCGCCGCGAATTCTGGAGCCAACTACAATCAAGAAGGCCTTGGAGGGACCACACAGGGAGAAATGGTAGGAGGCAATGGATAGGGAGTAAAAAGCATTACACGAGTGCAACACCTGGAAACTAATTCCCATCTCTCAGAAAACAGGAAAGACAATCCTCTCGGGGAAATGGGTCTTCCGAGTGAAGACGAAAGCAAACGGAACCATCGACCACTTCAAAGCTTGCTGGGTGGTGCGAGGCTTTGACCAACAGCACGGCCACGACTACACCGAAGCATTCACCCAAGTCAGCCACCACACGACCCTGCGAATTCTGTTCGCTGTCGACGCCGCCCGCAAGCTTCGCCTGCGACAAATCGATGTCGCAACCACTTTCCTCTATTCACCAGTCAACGACGACATCTTCGTTGAGCAACCACACGCGTACGTCGGCAATCCAACCTTCGTCTAGCTGTGCTTAGGTGTCCCTAGCTGTCCCTAGCTGTCCCTAGCTGTCCTTAGGTGTCCCTAGCTGTCCCTAGGCGTCCCTAGGTGTCCCTAGGCGTCCCTAGCTGTCCCTAGGTATCCATAGCTGTCCCTAGATGTCCCTAGGTGTCCGTAGGTATCCCTAGGTGTCCCTAGCTGTCCCTAGGTGTCCCTAGGTGTCCCTAGATGTTCCTAGGTGTCCCTAGCTGTCCCTAGCTGTCCCTACTTGTCCCTAGGTGTCCCTAGGAGTCCCTGGCTGTCCCCAGCTGTCCGTAGCGGTCCCTAGGTGTCCCTAGCGGTCCCTAGGTGTCCCTAGGTGTCCCTAGGTTTCCCTAGCTGTCCCTAGGTGTCCCTAGCTATCCCTAGCAGTCCCTAGTTGTCCCTAGGTGTCTCTAGGTGTTCCTAGATGTCCTTAGGCGTCTCTAGGTGTCCCTAGGTGTCCCTAGCTGTCCCTAGGAGTCCCTAGGTGCCCCTAGCTGTCCCTAGCTGTCCCTAGGTGTCCCTAGCTGTCCCTAGGTGTCCTAGGTGTCCGTAGCCCAATCAGGAAGGTCCGGCGCCGGGCCGAAGCAGCGACAAAAGAGGTCGTCGAGGCGGCGGAAGCAGCGGGCGGTCAGGTGCGGGCGACGACACACATTGTCGCAAAGGGGGCTGGTCTGGAGCTGGTACTGGCAGCCCCCAGCGCCGAAGTTGCCGGCCGACGCCAAGCTGCGAGGGCCGCCAACGCGGCCACCACCACTAGAGGCACCAGGCCACCCCGGCGGGAGGCGGGCCCACGACTGCTGCTGCTGCTGCTGCTGCTGCTGCTGCTGCTGCAGCATCTGCTGCTGCTGCTGCAGCATCTGCTGCTGCTGCTGCTCCTGGGCACCAGCCCCGGTCCCCTCGTCGTGTGGGGTCTGATTGTGCCTGGGGCATGGTAAAAATCACGACGTGTCCAAAATTGCTAGAGGGCACATCGAAAAAAACCACTTCATTGTTCGCAACCAGCCACAATCGTCTGGGTAAACTGCTTCTAGTTTATTGCGTTAACCTGGGTATTTTAATCCAAGCTATCTCCTTTTCTCGGGGCGTCTATGGTCTGCCCGAAACAAGCTGTTCAAAGCACATCCAACCCATGGAGGGCGGTTGAAGATTGGACGAGCTGTTCAGCCGATTTGCCCGTGAAGGCTGTTTTTTCGGGGCGTCTATGGTCTGCTCGAAACAAGCTGTTCAAAGCACGTCCAACCCATGGAGGGCGGTTGAAGATTAGATGAGCTATTCAGCCGATTTGCCCGTGAAGGCTGTTTATTTGAAGTTTCCTGTTGAATAACTTAGCCTAATTCAGGTGCGTTCTGCTGGCAACCGTCGAACAAGATATCAAATTTGGTTCGGTTTTCTCCGAGCCGTAGGTGATTATCACCGAGCCTCGATAAGGACTCAACCATTTATTAGCAAAGCTTCTGAATTATGAATGATTGTCACGGGTGACTGGTGAACAGGGCCCTAAGCTTTTTACCTTACGTGTTTCTGATTGCTAGATGTCACTTTCCGGTCACTTTCTCGCAACTTCGGGCACTTGTAATTCCGCGACGAGATAGCCATAGCGAGATGTGAGGTACCAAATCAGGCGGAATTACGTAGAATGGCGTCCGATTCTTCGCGCCCCATCCACCGCGCCTCAGACCTGCCAGCATCAGGCACCCCAGAAAGCGATGGCGATCTGCTCGAGATGACGCGCTCCTATGATAATTTGTGAGGGACCATCCCATTCACCCTTTGCTACTCGCACCCGATTCCTTCCACAACGACTTTTGCCGCGCCATTCCAATCACTGCTGGCATCGACAGTAGTAGGTATAATGGCGTCCGACTCCTCGCGTCCCTTCCACCGCGCGTTGGACTTGCTAGCATCAGACGCGCCGGAGAACGACGGCGATCTGCTCGAGATGATCCGCCGCGCCCGCCGCGACATGACCCGCCTCTCCGCTGCCGACTCCCGCGCCGCTTCCGCCGCCGTCGCTGGCGGAAAACACTTCCGCAGCGGGGCGTCGAAAGTAAGTCGTTCAGTGCGTTCCCAACACCGGTTTATTCCGTCCCTGAGAAAGCAAAACCTAGCTCTTTTTTTCGGGCTCTATGAACGATCGGGGCCAGGCGTAGAGGAGCTTCTAAAAGAAATAAATTGAACAAAGCAACGGGAAAAACGTCCGTGAGGCGCAAGCAAGTGCCCGTGAGGCGCGACGTGCCGCGCCTCTCCGTCGCCGACTCCCGCGCCGCCTCGGCCGCCATCGCTGGCGGAAACACTTCCGCAGCGGGGCGGCCGAAGTAAGTCTGCGCGTTGTTGCTGTTTGAGTGCGTTTCCAAGACCGTCTTAGGTTTTCTCTCGCCCATACCGCCTCCGTCGCTGGCGGAAAGCACTTGCGCAGCAGGGCTTCCAGGCCAGAGTAAGCTGCTTAAGAACTTTAGGCCTCCGGCTTACAAAAGCTTCTTTGTTTGGTGTTTCAAGAACTTTCGGCGTCACTTCATAAACGCACCCTGGCGGGAGACTAGAAAGTTCCCTGATATGGTGAGAACGCATATAACCTTGATTCTGTCCTCCATCCGATCCCCTCCTCCTCTTCCCTGTTTTGCCTACTTCACTGCCCTGCTACTGCTCTCCAGGCCAACACAGGTGCAGTAGCATCAGCCGCAGCAGCAATGTCAATACCAACGCTACCATCAGCAGCAGCAGTAGGAGCAGCTGCTCCTGATCGCCGAACCCACCTTCCTCCTTCCCTCGTTTCCACTCCCTTTTCTATCCACCCTCATATCAGCGGTCCCCCTTACACCCACACGGCACATAATCACAGCCCCTATCATCACCCTCCCGGACACCCAGCAGCCGCAGCAGCAACAGCTGCAGCAGGTGGGGCAGTTGCCGCTCCCCCAGGTGCTGGTAGTGGTGCTGCTGGTGCAGGTGCTGGTGGTGCTGCAGCTCTTGCTGCTGGTAGGGTAGCTGGAATGCAGGGTTCGGCAGGTTTAGCGGGAGCGGGCTTTGGCGCAGTAGGTGCTGGTAGAGGGGGCCAACAGCACTCAGCAAGTCAGCAGCCAATGCAGCAGCAACACGTGCCAAGTCAACAACACATGCAACAGCCGCTGCAGCCACCGCAGCAGCAGGAGCAGCAGCAGCAGCAGCAGCAAGGGCAACAGAGGCAGCAGCAGCAGCAGCCGCGTCAAGTTGTGACTCTAAAGGGGCCAGTGCCGCGGCCAAGAGAGAGGTCAAAACGGGCAAGATGATTGGAGTGGTAGCGGGGAACGCACACATGTTGCAGTGGCAACACGTCAAAATCGGGTGTAGCAGTAGGGATGACTGAGGCAGCAGCAGCAGCCGTGTCAGGTTGTACCCTAAAGGGGCCAGTGCTGGGGCCGAGAGAGCGGTCGAAACGGGCATGGTAGTGGGGAATGTAGCACATGCTAACCCAGCAATACATGCAATCACTGTAACATCAGCAGCCACAGCAGCAGCAGCAGCAGCAGCAGCACAGCAGCTGGTGCTGCCACTTCAAACTTGTGACTCATGGCTCTGAGAGCGATAAAAGCAGGTGAGGTAGTGGGGATTGTGGGCCGTAAACAGAAGTAAATACACCAAATGGTTCGAGACACATTAACAGGGTGTCCGTGCACGCGTACCTTCCTCCGTGTCTGTACATACGTCACAGTTTTGGTATGTTAAATATTCCTCTGTAGAAGTACTTAATGTTGTGATAAAGTCGTACTTAAAGCGAGAGGTTATAATAGTGACCCATCTTTCTAGTTGGGCCCAACTTGAATGGTACCCTCAAACAGATATAGGGGGGACAAGCGAGCGGGCAGAAGAAAACGTCGTTTCGGAGCGGGCAGTCACTCAGCAGCAAAAGCATCTGCCCGCGCGACAAATTTGGATATGTGGACGCGGGTGTATTTATAAACAAAATACCGTAATCCCCCGTATATAACACCCGCCGAAATAGTCACTCCGCGGGTGGTTTATGCGGGGGAGAGCTTATGATAGGGTGAATTTAGGAGAGCACCCGCTTTTCGGGGGTTGCATTTTACATAACACCCTCCTCGTTTTATGCAGCAAAGAACAGTATTTCGTAGTTTTTCAAGTTCAGCTCGATTGAGAAAAAAACGAACAGGATGAAAAACGCAATGTCAACTACCATTAGCAGCGAAAAAACGGGCAGAAACATCAACACAAGTTGCAGCGCGAAATGGAAATGTCAGCAAAGGTCAAGACTCGGGAGGATTTCGACCGTCGAATTCGCGGATTCTGTTGTGATTTGACGGTCAGAATCCTCCCGAGCGAAATCCTCCCGTCGAAGTCGCGGATTCTGTCGCGATCGTGACGGTCGCAGGTGCTGCACAAACTGTCAACTTATACATATTATCTATGTAGAAGTTATAGGCTAGACTGAGGTATGCTTCTAGTGAGTACAACCAACTAGTATTTGTTCTAGGTTTCCACCTCTAGTAATCATTCGTTTCTACGTTAACATGGTATCACGCTTAGGTTAGGATCCCCCCGCCTACCGCTTCCGCCCGTCGCGCCTCCTAGGCCCCGTCGCGCCCCCTAGGCCCCGTCGCGCCCCCCCTGGGCCCCGTCGCGCTCGTTAGGCCCCGTCGCGCCCCCCCTGGGCCCCGTCGTGCCCGCTGGGCCCCGTCGCGCCTCCTAGGCCCCGTCGCGCTCCCCCTAGGCCCCGTCGCGCCCGCTGGGTCCCGTCGCGACCCCTAGGCCCTAACGCGCCCCCGCTGGGCCCCGTTGCGCCTCCTAGGCCCCGTCGCGCCCCCCATGGGCCCCGTCGAGCCCGCTGAGCCCCGTCGTGCCTCCTAGGCATCGTCGCGCCTCCTAAGCCCCGTCGCGTCCCCCCCCTCTGGGCCCCGTCGCGCCCGTTCGGCCCCGTCGCGCCCCTCCTAGGCCCCGTCGCGCCCGCTGGGCCCCTTCGCGCTTCCTAGGCCCCGTCGCGCCTGCTAGGCCCCGTCGCGCCCCCCCTGGGCCCCGTCGCGCCCGTTAGGCCCCGTCGCGGCCCCCCTGGGCCCCGTCGTGCCCGCTGGTCCCCGTCGCGCCTCCTCGGCCCCGTCGCGCCCCCCCTGGGCCCCGTCGTGCCCGCTGGGCCCCGTCGCGCCCCTTAGGCCCCGTCGCGCCCGCTGGCCCCTGTCGCGCCTGCTGTTAGCGCTCGCCCGCCTGGCCTCCTCCTAGTGCCGCTCGGCCTCCTCCTAGTGCCGCCCGGCCTCCTCCTAGTGCCGCCCGGCCCCTTCCTAGCGCCGCCCGGCCTCTCCTCAGCGCTGCCCGGCCCCTCCTCGTGCCCGACCGGCCCCAGCAGCACCAGCCTGGCCCCTCCCAGCACCAGCCCGGCCCCAGAGCACCTGCCCGCCTCCCCTGCTCGGCCTGCCGTGTCCTCTCGGGCCCTGTGTCTTCTGCTTGCCTGCGCTGGGACGCCTAGCTGCTGCCCTACTGGAGAGTGCTGCCGCCGTGTCCCCGCGCCGCTGTGCTCCTGTGCCGCTGAGGAGCTGTGCTGCTGTGCCGCTGTGTCGCTGAGGAGCTGTGCCGCTGACCCTGCACGATGGCTGACTTTGTGCTCCGCCTGGACGCTGAGGGCCACGCGGTTGACTTCGCCGCCTGGCTCTCCGATCTTCGTCGCCAGCTTACAGGTCAGCGCCAGGATGGCCACTCTCTGGTTGTCCATGCTGATGGCTTGCTCCCCCGTCCCCCTGCACCTACTCCCCTCCCTGCTGACCCCTCCTCTGATGACCGTGAGGCTTTCTCTACTGCTGCGCTGGCCTGTGCGATCTGGGACTCACGCGATGCAGTAGCTCAGGTTGCTATTAGTCACGCCCTCCCTGTGTCTGAGCGCTCGCGTTTTGCTACTGTTGAAACGGCCAAAGCTTATTTAGACGCCGTTATTGCTCGCTATTCCACCCCTGCCTCCGCTTCTGCTGGCCGCTTGCTCTTTCCGATGCTGTTCCCAGACCTGGCTGCCTTCCCTACTGTCGCAGATTTTGCCACTCATTTGCGTGCCCTAGAGACTCGCTATCGCACTGCCAGCACTGCTGCCCAGCTCACTGCGCTCCCCCCTCCTTTCTGCATGACGCTCTATTTTATCGCTATGCGCCTGCCAGACCGCCTCGCTAGTGCTCGCGACCACTTTCTTAGCCAGCACCCGGGTGACCTCACCCTGACCGCCTTTGTCGACACCCTCACTGAGATCGAGACTCGCCAGCGCACTATCGCTCAGTCGAGCGGTGCGCCGCCAGTCTCTATCTTTCACGGCTGTGCCCCATCCCCGTGCACGTTCACTGACGTTTCGGCTGCGGTCGCCACGGCGACCCCTCTTACCGAGACGGCTGCTGCTGTCCACCCGCAGCAGCGCTCGCGTCGCGGTGGCCGTGGCCGCCAGGGAGGTAGGGGTGGTGACGCAGGTGGTAGTGGTCGTGGTGGTGGTGACGGTAGTCCGCCTGAGGGGACTACCACCGGTGGGCAGGAGCAGCAGTCCCAGCAGCAGCAGGACCAGCCCCAGCCGCAGCCGCCGTCCCAGCAGCACCCGCCGCAGCCGTGGGCTCGTCTCCCGCCTGGTTGGCCCGGCACCTCCGGAGGCGGTGGCCGTGGTGGCGGCCCGCGCAGCTTGGCGTCTACCAGCGGCTCCAGTGCTGTGACCTGCCAGTACCAGCTTCAGACCGGGCCTCTCCGCGGCACTCTGTGCCGCCGCCCGCACCCGACCGCCCGCTGTTTCCGCCGCCTCGACGATCTCTTTCGTCGTCGCTTTGGCCCGGCCCCGGACCTCCCTGACTGGCACAGCCTGCTCCGCCAGGGCGTGCCGATCTTTGAGTTAGACATGGATCAGATAGGTGCTGCTTTGCATGCTTTGTATGCTGACGCTTCTAGTGTTGATGGATCTTACTACCCTGTGTACTCTAGTTTAGGTGTTTCACCCTTGTGTAGCTTAGCTTCCCCTGCTGCGACAGGCGTAGGACTGCCTAGGTTGCCTAGTCTAGTCGCTGCACCGGCTCCGTCCCCGGCCCCCGCCACTGCGTCGCTGTCCTTCACTCTCGACTCTGGTGCTTCTGCCTGCTTCTTCCGCGACCGTTCCACGCTCACGCCGCTTGCTGCACCTGCTGTTGTCTCTCTCGCTGACCCCTCTACTGGTCCGGTCGTCGCGCGCAGTTCTACGTCCCTTCCCTGTCCGGCAGTTCCCTCGGGCTCCCTTACTGGCCTCCACGTTCCCTCGTTCTCCAGGAACCTGGTTGGTGTCGGCTGTCTCCAGGACCTCGGCGTCACCACCACGTTCCCCGGGCACGAGCGGTTCGCTGTCTGTTCTGAGGCTGTCTCAGGTTCCCCCCTTGCGACGTTCCCCCGGGACCCGGTGTCCGGTCTGTTTACCCTACACACCGCTTCCCCCCCGGTTGGTGCGTCCTCCCAGGTCGCTGCAGCTTGCTCGTGTCGGTCCCTCACTCACCCCTCCCTTCTCTGGCACCACCGCTTAGGTCACCCTGCTCTCCCGCGTCTGCGTCACATGTCCCAGCACGGTCTTGTCTTAGGTCTCCCCGCGTCGCTCCCTGCCCTTCCTCCCTCGACTGCGCCACCGTGCACGCCTTGCGTCGAGGGTCGGCTCCGCCGTGCTCCTCACTCCTCCTCGCTGCGTCCTGCTACTGCCCCCCTTCAGACCCTGCACTTGGACGTTTGGGGCCCTGCCCCCGTCCCCGGACCGCGCGGTGAGCGCTACTTCCTTGTGCTTGTCGACGACTACACGCGCTACACCACGGTGTTTCCCCTGGAGCGGAAGGCCGACGTGCCCGACGTTCTTCTCCCGTGGGTTGTGGCTGCGCGTCTCCACCGCGGTCTCCCCGTGTTGTGTCTCCACTCCGACCGTGGCGGCGAGTTCGCCTCTGGTCGGCTTGGACAGTTCTGTCGTGCGGAGGGCATCACCCAGTCGTACACGTTGCCGGACTCGCCACAGCAGAATGGGGTTGCTGAGCGCCGCATCGGCTTGGTCATGGAGGTCGCCCGTACCTCCATGATCCATGCCGATGCCCCCCATTTTCTGTGGCCGTTCGCTGTTCGCTACGCGGCTCACCAGCTTAACCTGTGGCCACGCTCCCAGCGGCCGCAGGTTTCGCCGACCCTCCTTTGGACCGGGTCCCCCGGTGACGCGTCTGCGTTCCACGTCTGGGGCTGCCTTGCTCACGTTCGTGCCTCTGGCACGGACAAGCTCACTGCCCGCACTGTCCCCTGTGTCTTCCTCGGTTTCCCCCTGGACTCGTCTGACTGGCTTTTCTACCACCCGCCGTCTCACCGCTTCCTCCACTCTCGTGACGTCACCTTTGACGAGTCCGTCTCCTTCTACCGCCGCTTCCCTCACCGAGGTCTCCCAGTTGCCCCCCCCCTTTTCCTTGCTCCCTCTCCCCCGGTAGCCCCTGCCCCTCTCCCGCCTCGTCCTGCCCCGTCGGGTGTCTCCCACGTCACTCCCCTCCCGTCGGTTGTCCCCGTTGAGGAGTCTGCTGACTCTGGTGGTACCCCCGGTCCGTCCTTGCCGCGTCCCCCTTCCCCGGTGCCTCCGCCCCCACTGTCGCAGTCGCCGACCCCGCTGCCGCCGCCGTCGCCGTCGCCGCCGCAGCCGTCGCCACTGTCGTCGCCGCCGCAGCCGTTGCCGCCACTGCCGCCGCTGCTCTCGGCCCCTGGGGGTGCTGGTGTGGAGGAGGGTGTTCGTCCTGCGGCTTCTGGGGGTGCCGCTGGTGTTGGAGGGGGTTCTCGCTCTGGGGGTGTTGGTTCTGGGGGTGCTGCTGTTGAGTGTTCTGCCGACGGTCGTTCTGCCTCTGCTGGTCCGAGAGTTCCGGCCCAGCCGTCGTCGCCGCCGCAGCAGCCGTCGCCGCCGGTTTCCGCTCTCCGCCTGCTCGGCCTTCCCTCCCCGGACCGCGCGCCGGTGTCTCCCCCACCGCCTCCTGACCTCCCTGTCTACGGTCCTGTGTTCCCGCCGCCAGACTCGTCTCCGGCCCGTCTTCCTCCTCGTTCCCCTCCTGTGTCTCCTCCGCTGTCCCCTGACCCTACCCCTCCGTCTCACGTTTGGGCTCGCCGTCCCTCCCGTGCTCGTCCCGTCTCTCCTGTCCTGCCCACCCACCCTATGTTGCTCCGTTCCCACTCGTCTCGTCCTCCCCTCCTCCCGTCCCCTCCTCCCTCGTCCCTTGCTGTTGCACCTCCTCCGTTCTCTGACTACCTCCGTGCTGCTCGTCCCCTTGTCCCTCGGGTCCTTGCCTCTCTTGTTACCG